ACCTTTGAAGATTTGATGACAACCGTTGCGATCCCGGACAACTCTTTACTAACGAACTGATAATAGTGCAAAAGATATTACCTTTTTAATAAACCCTAACACAAAAAAAACCCTAAAACAAAACTAACAAAAACTAACGACTCCACCATAGGGAGACGAACGAATATCTACACTTCTTGTGTAGATTTATTGAAAACTAAATTGCAAAACTAAAGAAAATTAAAGGAAAAGGACCGAAAATAATTTAATTTCTTTGGAAAAACTCTAAAAGAGAGGAGGAGAGAAGAGGAGAGGAGATGCGAGAGTTTAAGGAGCATACTTTGTTTTTAGATAAACATAGTCACATGAGCTCTATCTAGATTATTTTTGAAGATTGCACAAAACGAAAGTGAGTAAAATTTCATAGAATGGGGGGATTATATAAAATTATGTATGGAATTAATTAAGTTTCTTGTATTGTTTTTCAACAATAATTTTTTCCTCATAAAAGTTCAGTAATTACAATTCCATTTTCTTGGAGAGGAGAGTACCTTGCTAGTTATTAAGTTGTTTATTATATAATATTGAGATGAGGATATTTGGATAAAAATAGCTAGCCAAAGAAAAAACAAAAATCAATTAGTAAGCATTTGCCAAACTTCAATGCTTGTTTGTTCGATTCATATAGCCATATAGGTGTAGTTATTGGAGTTCCATGTAATTAAAGTTATTTCTCATGTGAAATTCTTAGGAAAAGATAATCACGTTTGATAAAAAAAATATGATGAAAAGTTAACTTTATAAAAATTGACATGAAAATTGTGACTTATAAAAAATATATTTCCTCCATTCTTTTAATATCGCATCACTTGCATTTTAGGGGAAGTTTCACAAATATTGCATCACTTCCATTTTAGGACAAAAAATATCTATGTTCATACTGCAAATACCTAACATACCCTTCTTTTTTTACACTTACTTTTTATTTTATCTTTACATTACATGGACAATTTTGTATTTTTACGTTTTTCTCTCTCACTTTTTCCCACTACCAAATTTTACCTGCAAAACCCCTATGATGCAATAAAAAAAGAACGGAGGAAGTAAAAAAAAAAAAAGGTAAATAGTTTCTCATACAAAATACTTGTTACATTATGAGAATTTCAACTTTCTAAGCAAGTTTCACTTCTCAAATTCTTCTAATTCATGCTAACCAAACATGTCAAATTCTTCAATTTTCCTACAACCAAACAAGATTTAAAAAGTCCTAGCTAATCTTTTACATATACTCAAAATCCTGACCACTCCTCCAAAGCTTAGGTGTTTAGAAATGAAATTCAATCACAAAACTTCCCGTCACAAAGTAGTGGTCACGAAAACTTCCAACACATTTCAGACAGCCTTTTAAAATTTAAATTGATAATAACTTCAATTGGTATTTAAGACCCAATGACAAAATTACAAAATTTTATGGTAGATAGAAATTTGAGTAATTGAGATATTATTTTTTATGACCAAGTTGGTTCCTCGTGCCATAAAAGGAAATCTTTAGCATTAATGCAATATTTTGCCAACAAATATATCAAAAATTTAGAAAAAATTAAGAACCCTTTCTTAAAGGGCCCTACATCATAGTAAGTCATTTAGAAGTGTTCCATGTAATAGCCACAAGCTGCATTCAAGTGCTAACTTTCATTTCCACCAACCATATATGCAAACCTACCCAACACTAAAATGTATACAAACCTACCATCAAGGCCAAAAAATCTACACACCTGAGAGGTGAATTGACAGAATTGCCCTTCAATCAATATCTACCATCAAATTAGAAATGGAACTTTGTTTTTGGTGCAAGAAATTATTGTAATTTGTAGTTGACAGAGGGAAAAAACAAAAAGAAATTAGCAATAAATTCAGCAAGCTTACTTTTTTTTTTTTTTTTGACAAGCTTACTAATTTAACGATTGCAATAAATTCTTTTTTTGTACGGTTTAAAATAGTAACAACACTTTTTTAAGTAACTTTTGATCACGACCCAGTCCACACTACTATATACATACGTACGTATTTACTCTGCTTTACTCTCCTTCTCGTAACACATATCAAGTTAATATTGGATGTCACAAATAATTTGAAATGGAGGAAGTAAGCGATATTTAACCTTTGTTTCACCAATCAAATAAGATTTTGTCTTCATCGTACAAGTCTAGCAAAGAAATATTTGATTGTGCTTTCTTACAACTGCTGTCAACTTCAACAATTTGTTTATCAACCACAATGTGCCAAACGAAGTCACTCTCACTGTTTTGATTAGCTGTTAGGTAAAGGCAAGTATCCAGTTGTCTGCAACCATTGATTTTTACCAATCTTTTTTGAGGTTTATGTGCTTACACTATTAATCGCAATTTAACAAGGTCGTACCTATTAATTTATGGGCTTGAATTAGCTAATTCTAAAAATATCCAAGTGTAATGTAACCAATGGGCTCTTGTAGGTCCACAAGATTAGCCAATAAAATCAAGACATCCGGATTTGTAACCACTAAGATCATGAAATTGACGAGGAAGTACTAATGAAGGTTTGATATGTATTTGCAAATACATATCAAACCTTAAAATATTAAAAAGTATTGTAAGCACATGGGGGTGAGAGAAAGGAGGAGAGAGATTAACAAGTGGGACCAATTTTTAAATTTACCACTAAAAACTTATATAATATCATTGAATATGTAGTTATATTATTTTTATGCGTAGTTGGTACTACTAAATGAATATATAGTACCATTGAATGAATATATAGTACCACCGAATGTTCAATGATACTATTTGATCATCTAGTGATACTATTAATCACCCAGTGGTACACTTAAATCCAGCACGTGGGGGTAAGAGAAAAGGAGGAGAGAGATGGGTAAATTTCATGCGAAATGTCTCAAATGCCCCTTGATATGTATATACAAGTACCTATCAAATCTCCCTTTGGAAGGCCTCGAAATTGACTAATCCAAAACAATGATCTAGAATCTATCGATTCTTCAAATTAATCACTAAAACTATTGATCTAGAATTAACACCACTAAAGTTGAATAGGGAATCAACTTAAGAACATTCTTCTCAATGTAACTTTACAATGGATATTAGGTTAACATATAACTATAGCCATCAATTTTATCGCAATAATTAAAAGTTAATTATATTGCAAAGAGTGCTTCGTATTTATTAGTAGTGTTGTGAGAAAAAAGCATGTCAATATTCATTACCTACACTTTGTATTTTAGATAGGCAATCAGCAATCATATAGTAGAGCTCATATCATACCATATGACTTATCACATAGGTCAAATAAACTTATAAAGTAGTACTCTTTTTACCTTAAAATTAACTCCTTTATTTTTCATTTTAATTTATTCCAAATTATTTGCATTTTTTTATTAAAATACTTTTGTTGTCTACATTTCTCATAAGATGGAATCCATTGTCATTTTTCTCAAACAACATTTTTATCTTTCTTGAAATTTATGTTAAAATGATTAGTGCAATTAAAATGAAACAAATAGAGCAGCCTTTTACATGTTTTACTCAGTTTTTTTAATATATGGAGTAGTATTTTTTTTGTCCATAACTAAACAACTTAAAGTGTGTTCTATTTGCATAATTTTCACTTACTGTTACACCCTACCCTAAATCAATAGACCTTATCAAAACTTATTTTGTTGTAATTTTAACTCAGTAGCTTTTATGAGCTCTTATCAGAACTCATTTTTCTATCTTTATGTAATATACGAGTAAATTTATGTAATACACAGAATATAAGCTTATTTTTCTTCAAACAAGTTGAAAATAAAGTAAGCAAATCACAGGCTAGAGGATTGCCACTACTTCAGAATTTACTCCATAATCAATTATTGCACGGAATATCAAGCCAAATCAAAGTAATTGGTTATATGGAATAAAGACACTAAACACAGTAGGCAGGAAGAGTGCTCAAAATTATGCTGGAAATAAAAAAACCAGTGCTTTTCAATTTACCTCTACTTTAGTACCGCACCTAAATGGTAAATATACTCCTAGATTCTTCTTCAGGCGTGTTAAAATATCTTACCTTTAACAGCAAATTTTTTTTAAAAAAAAAAGTTACTGTAAAAAAAATAAATCTGTTAAACTGTTACTGGTAGTTAAAAAGTGAGCAATACACATCTCACTGAAAAAGATGTCGTAAACAACTTAAACATCAATTAAAAAAAAAAAGGAGTTTTTAATAAAGAAAAATACTACAGTAGCACCTGTAGAATTGTAGAAATGTAGAATTCTAACCAAAGTAAAAATTTTACTCTTCATAAGTACGAATATAATTTTTACTTATTAGGAGGCGTTTGGTTAGTGTATCTTTTGGGTTGAAAACGGATTCGATTAAACCGATACCATTATCGTGTGTTTGGTTTGAAGACATGATAACAATTACCCCTCATTTGTTAACTCTCAAAAACTTAGGGTAATAAATACCCTTACCCTCTTCTTAACAAATACCCTTTTCATGGTTAAACCAAATAAATGAAAAGGTAATAATTAAATGATTTATTTCCCCCCTCTTATTTGTTTCCTTTCCACTCCATTTCCATTTTCCGAACCAAACGCCATAAATCAATGTATTATTTGTGCGTTTTTACTTTCATTCAGAACATTACAGAATTAGCACTCGTTAACTAAAACTAGCATAAACCTGAAAACAAACTCCTTCCTCGAATCTACAATGAATTTCTCTTTATAGGTATTGGGGTAACGTTCACGTACGCCAAGCAGCAAATTAGCAAAACACTTAGTCCATATTTACCACATTTACTATTGAAGCTAATGGATGTTAAAATTCTCTCCTTCAAGTTGCCAAAACCCCCAGCTTGGAAAATTTTGGACGGTCCAAAAATTCTCTCCAGCAGCCTCACATGTCTCCATCATCTTTTGCTCTCTCTCTCACAAACAAGTACCAATTTATATTATACTTTTATTTTACAATACGATAGATTCCCTAACCAAAGTTTTCTTCTTTTCAAAAAAATAAAAATAAAAACTCTGTTCTCTCTCACTCTGTTTCTGTTCTGAAATCAATCACTTTCTATTCAAAATTCTTTATTTAATTCATAAAACACCTTTTTCAGCTCTATAAGATCCCACCAATTTCTCAACCCATTTCCCCCTCTTCTCTTTCTCTCTCCTCTCTTTTGCTAATCTTTGTTCATAATTCTGCTCCTCTGTTTCCTCATTTTTCTGGGTTTTTTTTTTTCTCTTCTATTATATTTCAGGAATTTCAAGTATTTTTTTGGAAATTCTGGATTTCTGAAAAATACCTTGATGCGGAATACCTGGGTTTTAATGTTTGAGATTCATGTCTCCAATTCTCAGTGAACTCTATGTTTCTGGGTTGATGATAAATTCCACATATAGGCGCAGGACCCATCTAGTTCAATCCTTCTCTGTTGTCTTCCTTTACTGGTTTTACTACATCTCATAATCCTTGCTCATTTCTCCCCCCTCTAAATTAGTTTTAGCTGCTATAATTACTACTATAATCTATCTTTATACAGAAAAATAATAATTATATATATAAAAATATACCAATATAGTGTGAAATAAAACTTAAAATCCCCTGTTTTTCATCTTCAGAGTAAGGTATTGACTAGTAGTTTTCTGGGTCCTGCTATAGTAAAAGTTAATTTTCTGTGTGTTACTCAAAATATTAAATTTGTTGAAAATGGCTTCACCTGGGGGTGGTACATCTTCTGGGACATCATCACTGCAGCAGAATTCGAGCTCGGAGGAGGAGATGCAGATGCAGATAATGGATGAAAGGAAGAGGAAGAGGATGCAGTCGAACCGCGAATCGGCAAGGAGGTCAAGGATGAGGAAGCAACAGCATTTGGATGATCTCATGACTCAAGCTTCCAATGTGAGAAAAACCAACCACCAGCTCTTGAACAACATAAACATCACCACCCAACAGTACTTGAAAATTGAATCAGAAAATTATGTACTCAGAGCTCAAATGTCAGAACTCAGCAGCAGGTTACAGTCTCTGAATGAGATTATCAGTGCACTCAATTCCTGCAACAACAAACAAAATCTGGGGATTTATGGAGGTGGTGATGATCAAGGAGAAGGGATCTTTCCCACAATTATTCCAGAGCCATTTACAACTGACAGCTTTCTGATGAACCCATGGGATTCTGCTACCTACTCAAATCAGCCAATCATGGCTTCAGCTAACATGTTCCAGTATTAATGGGCATGTTGATTACTCTTAGGAGAGGAGAAATTAGGGAGGATTTTTACCTTTTGAGGATGTTAATTAAGAGGGGGATAATGATAATGATAATCCTACTAATTTTCTTTTTTATTTTGGGGTTTTCTGGGGAGGGCAGATATTCAATAAGTAGATTTTACTACAGGGGAAAAAGGGTACATGGGTTAATTTGTGGTCTTTTCTGTAAATGAATTAATGCAAGTTTGGCAATTAGTGTCCCATCTGCAGCAATGATATATGTACAATCTTGCATGTCATATCTTCAAGAATTTTATTTATTTAAAGCTTTAATGTGTTTAAGTTTGTCATCATCTGCTTAAATTAGCTCAGCTAAACTCAGGAGAAAATTGTTTTACCAAAAGTACTTAAATTTATAGCAGATCAACATAATGAAGATATAACAAGCAATTACTATGACTAACACAGTATGCTACACTATTGCCTCAAGTCTACTAGCTTGAAATATCAAGAACTTGTGCCCTCGCTATGAACTACGAGTACAAATACATACAGCCTTCCTGCACTGAACATGTTGAAAATGATAGTAACAAAATTAGATGAAAATCAGACACAAGCATGCAGTAATCAGTTCAGTTGTTCACTTACGCTTAGAAATTCAAATATGCACTTATCATATCCTCTCAAGAGTATGAAACTACAATTACTGAACTAATTTACAAAAAAGTGAAGTTAGTTTCTCCGAGTCAACAGTTAGTTAGAGAATGGATCACTTAGGTGTAACAACAGCACACAGGGTTGCGGTTAGCTAGCAAATCGATCACTTAGGTGTTGATACTTGCTACAACACAGGGATTCGCAGCACAATTCAATCAGCAGATCATGTTAGTGTGGAGATAACCCATTGCTGCTAGCCTGTTATGATCATAGATATCTGCTCATGCAATCCTCAGGTTTCTAAGAAAAATGGGAAAGAGATATTTGATGTTGACTGAATGCCCTAACTACAACAGAAATGCACCTATCAAGCACCTCCAAATCATCATTCCTCAATTGACAGAAATGTGAGTCTAAATTCAGGTTTTTCCACCAGAAAAGAAACTATGTGTCTATGTTAGATGTCGAATTTACGTGCATCCCACAAAATTACTAAGCACTTAAAAGATAGATGACTTCATATTACAAAATCAACAATGGCAGCAACAGCCACTAAGTAGTACCTATTACAGTTTTGATGGGAGTGTGGAGAGGTCTACATTGATACGACTCCACCGGTAAAGGCATACCCTCAGTCGTAATCAAGAAACAGAAACTAAAAAAGAGACTCCACCAAGGTAGTGTTTCAAACAGGTAGTCATGTCTATTTTCTTCTACACTGGTCCCTCCCTCCGCCCCCCCCCCCCCCCCCCCCCCCCTCCCCCTCCCCCTTTTCTCAACTTTAATTAACCAGGTGTCTTTCCTCTCCACCCCTTCTTTTCCCTGTCTATTCTGAGACACCCTAAAATAGTGAAATATTACTGTCTTCTTAGTAAATCTAGCATCCTTGAGAACACGAAAGTCAGCTTGAACCAATCATCAGTCAGAAACATTCCTAAGAAACAAATATCTCATCATATTGATCTTCCTATGTACATCTCTTTTAAATGAGGATTGACATTCTAGTGGTTTAGTAAAGGAAAAACAGCGAAAATTGTGATATAGTGAACTCATTTCGAGCAAACTACAATAATATTGTCAAAGAAATCTTCAAGTTTGTTATACTTAGCAGTTTTGTTACTCTTCAATGTGATCCTTAAACAACCAAGGAAGTAAAAGCAATAAAACCATAGTTTGTTTCTAATAAATACATGATACTTTTGGACGCTTCAAATCAGGCCGAAAGGTTAAGAGAAACCACTAGATCCGTGCATATAACTCATGCCAAATGCAAAAATCTGGTAACTTAGCATAGGATTCGATCGCTTTACTTCTTTTCTTCACCATGAATCAATGAGAAGACATGACAATCAAAGTTACAAGTTTACCAGACCATCCTGATCACTGGAAAGTCCTAGAGAAATCACAGCAAAAGCCATAAGAAAAAGTAAAAGAAAAACTTTTTTTCCCAATCAGTACATTAAAAAAACTCAAAGAACATATTCATACGTAAGTATTTTATTGCATAGAAGGCATTTTCAGTAAAAAGCTACCACATCGAAGGAAGTGAAGATCAGTTTTAAAAAGGGTAATCAAAGATCTGATTAAATTTAAAAACCAAAAAAGTCTCTCAAAGGGTGGTGGGAAGAGAATGGAACCATTGAGAAAGAGTCCCACGTGCAAGGGGAACCATGTTCTTAGAGCAAGTTCTGCAAACACAAGATTCTCTCCATAATTCAAGTTCCTAACACAGTACTAATTTAAGAAATTAAAGGTCCTGTCCTATTAGACTTAAAATGAAATTAAATACTACGGAGTACTACTTTCTCTTTTATTTTCCAAAGGCAATATTTTAATGTTCTTAACAATTAATAAAGACATAAACATTGTGTATTAAACCCCTAAGACCTTGACAAAATGGGGATAAATCCATGGTTGTCGTTGTAACGATGTAATGTTATAGCCTTATAGGGAAAGAAACTCACAAGAAAAACACACAATAGAAGGTAAAAATATGTAATGATATGCAATAATAAATAAATGAAAGGCAACTCTCCTATGTCTAGACGGGAAATTTAAAAGCACCAATCCAACATGTCTAGATGGTAGCAAAAGGAAACAGCAATGTGGGGAAACAAAAAGGAAAGGGGAAAGTTAAACTTTCTACAATGTTCATGTGTAGAAAAAGCCAAGATATGGGAAATCATACGAAGTGTATGGTTTCCAACTTGGACCTCTCTAATTTTTTTCACAGGGCCAAAAAAAAAAAAAAAGAAAAAAAAAAGAAAAATGAAAAAAAAAAAGGAAATTTAATTCATTGGTTGAAGAGAAAATGTGAACTTGAGGGTTTGATTTCTAATAAGATGCTAGCAACTAATGTATCTCCATTTCAAATAGAGAAACCCAAAGAAACCAAATAATTAGAGTGAATAGAGATCTCAATCACCCACCAGACCCACTTGGTCATTAAATCTATCATTTTCTTGTATAGTAAATACAAATACTGCTATCAGACAAAAGAATCCTATTTAGTCACAATCTAATTTTATATAAGAACATAGTTCCGTAAGCAATTATGAAACACACTTTCTTGAAAATCTTTTCTATATTGTACCATGTAAGGTAGTCAATGATCACAACTCAAAGTGTCTAAAAAATAATGCATTGGAATTTTTATTTTTATAATAAGAAAATCTAAGTACAGCCGCCACCTGTCTTTTTATAGGCAAATTATTAGGTGTACTTTGAAGCATGTGTTACTGTGCTACAAATAATGGTTCAACCGTATATATGGAGGAAAAAAAAAAAAAGATCCAACCCTCATGCCGCTATTTAATTTGTAACCACATCACTAGCATGCTCCTAGGCCAACTTATAGGCTCTCACTCTTTCCCAATTATATCAAATAAGTGGACATTGAGGCAAAGTTTGAGCTGATTCAGGGTTCATAGTGATTTTTTCCTAAGCATCATACTCAAGTTTATCCTAATAGGAAGTAAAAATTTCATAGGAAGGTCAAAGAAGCCTCAAGGTGGAGTTGTTTTGTTGACAAAATTATAAGAAGTTGCACTTCATACAAAAATCTAGATTCCATAAAATTGAGAAAATTACTTAACTCCTCCAAGCTAAGTGAAACTTTGCATAAAAATAAACATACAATGTTCAACCAAACAACATACGGAGTATTCCATTTCCTTATAGACTAACTGCTCAGAAAAAAACAATCATTAGAAAATATTACTTCCCAATTCCCATGATCAACCATAATGCTTATGCCCTGAGACATTATCTTTCAGTTCTGCAGCTAATTTTGTCTAAAGTTTTTCGCGCAGCTCTCTAAGCTTGCTATTGTGATCTAATTTACATCCTAGCCCAAAAACAATGTACCACAGTCATTCAGCCAACTAGCCAAGTAAAAGTTCATTCGTAAGTGCTAAGAAAAAGGAGTGTAAGTCAAAAATTTCAGTCGCATGCTTACTAAAGTAAAATCAAATGAGCCAGCAAGTAAAGATTATATGCAAGAAAATATGCATTGCCATCTTCCATAACAAGACTTCAGAAATGTTGGATAATAAGTAGTTATCATGACACTAATTCACTAAAGTAGTAAAGTCTCATGTAGAAAACCAAAACTATCTAATGAGATAATCACAAGTCAATATAAGAACAAAATTTAGAGACGGAGGGAATACCAAATGTCCAAAAACAAAAAAGCTTGAAACCCAATAAACACTGTAATAAACCAGCACCCCGTGGCAGAACATAATGACTTCAGAAAATATGAAAGGGATTTGCTGTAGCGCAAACGTTCATAAATACGTACACACACATCCTCTGCCATTGGTTTATTTCTGAAGGAAAGACACTAGGTAAAAGGAACCCACTACAGAAGATGCTAGGAGTAATTCAATTGGATAAAAAAAAGTGCTTACAATAGCAATTTACAACATGGATCTTTCCATTTCCCTCCACTTCTGAACATAAAAAAATGCATCCATCACAATTCACAAGTCTTCATAACTTTACAAGGATTTGGTTTATTAATAGAAAATTATGTTTGGATCCTTCTGTTTCCATTGCAAATCTTTTGATATTTAGAAGAATTTGGTTTAAGAGAAAAAGGAGTTTGGATCCTACTATTTCTCTCCATATACAAATACAGAAAATTTCATCCGAACACATTATAAATGGTAATATTGTAAAACCTCATACTTTCTTATAGAGAAACAATAGAAGGAGAGGGGCTAACAGGTCCTACTTAACATATGAAATTAAAAACAATAATCTAGGTCATTCAATATCTTAGCAGTATGTATAGCTTGGAATAGTCAAGTTTGCTTTTCTTTATAGAGAGTTAATATCTATTTATATTGTTGCATTCTCGATTTCTCCTTACAAAGAAACAATGCTTATCAGAAGGGTATGAAACCTTATCAAAAAAGGAGCATACAGTTCCTACTTAGCATATACTTATTCACCAACCAAACAGTGACACAAAAGTTAGATTGGGAGTAGCATTACAGAGGGCAAAACAACAGTAAGCCATTGGTGATAAGAGGAAAACAAACAATAGAAGTAGTGAACTAGTGATTTACTCCTTTTTTTCCAACTGACATCTCTTTTTAATCTTTTCTACTTGGTACTCACCATCAAAGAAGTGGAACTACAAGGTAAGCCGAACTTTACTTTT